CTGCATCCAGGAGCCTCCACCCCTGCCTTCAGTCGCCAGGGCACTTGATGCTTCCAATTCCTGCCAGCTGCTGAGGTGTTTGACACCATGCTGAGCACGTAGCTGCTGCCACCACAAGGCAACACAAGGTGTTTGGCCCTGAGGGAGTGGAAACCCTTCCTCTCCACACAACTGTCTCTGTTCACAAGACAGGTGTCTGCTGGGGAAGGCAGAAAGCCTCCCTTGGAATGGAGAATGTAAACCCCCTCCCCGTGAATTATTATGATTTTGAAATTCAGGGGCTCTCAGGCAAAGATATGGGAATAGGAATAACAGTTCTTTACTGGTGTGTATAACAAGGTAAACAAAAAATGAGAACTATGGCACTAACAACAAACAGAGCCAGGGTAACAGTCCTTGAGGAGTGCCCTGAAAACCAAAGGAGTTCCTCCTCCCTGCCATCAGTGCTTCTTAGCAACAAAATGGGAAAAAATTCCACAAGTAACAAGGAAAGAACAGAGGAGAAAACCAACCTCCAACAGCAACCACAGCAGGCCCACAGAGATTCCTCTCTGTGCAAGCCCCTGGTTGTTGTCAGGTTAGAACAAGCCACAGCTGTTTGTGAAATGCTGGTGTTCCCCAAGCAGCACAAAACATCCCTGGGCAGCTTTAAAATGAGATCTAGGAAATTGCCCTTGCTACTCTCTGTTGGAGTGTAAACCCTGTTGGACCAGGGTGGAGGATCCCTGAAGGCTAACTGTGTTATCTTTGTCTATAGAAAACAATTAGAAAGCTGATTTTAAAATGCTACAATTAAAGGCTTAATATAAATGCATTTCTGATGCTATCAACAAGTGCACAAGAAGCTCTTTCAAAATACCAATTCCTTCAAGCAAAAAAACTGGTTTTGTTTTCTCTTCATGGTGAGGGGACTATGGGCAATTTACACACACTTTCCAATCTTAAAAGTACTTTATCTGTGCTGTGCATCTTATATGCTAGAATTCTATACAGAGACTGTAAAAATATACATAAAGCCTTGTACAAATTTACTGGTCTGTCTATAGATTCATGGCTGAAGATAAAGCATTCTAGCAGAAAAGCTTGGGGGCAGGGCACACAAAATCTGATGAGCAGGAGTTCTGTAAAATTTAATAGAAACATTTCTACCTTTATTTCAGATAATCAGATTACAGTGGGATTTCAAAATTAATTTCCCTTTCTTTGGCAGTTTTATGCTGTGTTTTGGGAATAATCATACAAAATGAACACTACAAATGAAAATTCTGGGTTTATTGAGGTCACTAGGGCAACTCCTACTGATTTCAATTGGGTCAGGGCCTCATTTTATGAGGAAGTCTTGGGGAGAAAATAAATTCAGTCTTCTAGAAATGGAGCAACATGGCAAAAAGCCTTCCCTTAATTTTATTTTGAACATGGTCACACTGCCATCTGAGAAAACAGCTCCTTTATTGCCTTCAGGAAATCAGCAGGCAGTCCTGCTGCCACTGATTCCCTGCAAGCCTGGAAGGACAGGCTGGCTTTCAAATCTGCTGCTTTTTACCTGAATGCTGCTGATGGGCTCATCTGCCCATCGTGTCTCACCCTGGGCCAGGATCTCACCTTCCCCCAGGTGCTGGGCTTGGGAGGTCCCAAAGACTCTCTGAGCTCCCTCAAGCTTGCCCTGGGCTGTAGGAGAGCCCCTCTTGCTAGGCTAGGAAATACAAGGCTCCTCCACCTGAGAACTGAGTATTCAGAGCCTGTTTTAGACAGGATTTTGTCCTCATGAGAAGCAGCAGCCACATGCTGCTCAGCAGTTTGCAGCTATGTGGGAGCAGGGAGCCTTCTCCAGCAGGCAGGGTGTGACCTGCAAGACAAACAAGTGAGTGCAGCTCTTGGGGTCCAATTGCTCCCCAGTCAGAAACAGAATCACAGAATGGTGAGGTTGGAAGAGACCTCTGAGATCATTGAGTCCAACCTGTGCCCTAACACCTCAACTAGACCATAGCACCAAGTGCCATGTCCAGTCTTTTTTAAACACATAATACATAATACATGAACATCTCACCACTCTTTCCTTCCACTTCAAACTTCTTTTTCTGCTGGCACAAATACACACATGATTCTCTGCCTCACCAAAAAGGGTGCAATACTGACACTGCTCTCGCTAACATCAATGTCCAAAGTGTGCTATCACTCCCATCATATTTCAGGCAGGAGAAACTCCCTTTGGATGAGATGGGCCATGCTTCATTCATCTTGTCCACTTGGTGCTGACCATTTTTCTGACCATTTAAGAATCATTTTTATGTTTTCCAAAGCATCTGGGGCTGCCAGCAGCACCAATCTCCTCTGCTACACCAAGCCAGGCTGCTGCTGCCAGTGTGGTCCTTGCTGCCCCACATCACACTGAAATCTGCCACACATTTAAGAGCTCTCACATTAGTACAGTGCAAGGCACAGGGCAGTTCCTGCCTGAAGCCAGCTCCATATGGGAAGTGCTGGGCACCTAAGAGAACTTGGATCCCAGAATGGAGCCAAGTACTGAAGTAACAATTCTAGAAAGACAACTTACCCAAAATGGCAAATTGAATGCCTGTAAACACGTTTCAGTCAGAATTTTGGATGAACTCTGAAGGTATTGATTTTTTTCTGGGGTAAACTTCCTCAAATTTCCCTATCTCTCTATTAGACTGTATTTTTTATCATTAGCCAGTAATATATGGAAGGTCTTGGAGATGGACATCACAGAAGTGAGCCTTTAAAAGAAGTGACCTTTAAAGTCAGTGAAGTCTCAAATCTTAAAATGAAGTCTCAAATCTCCTGGAAGAAAATGTTAATACTCAGAATTCTGAATAATATTATATAATTAACTTTTCAGCAGAGAACAGCCTCTTGGCACTAACACTGTCCTTTCTGATACATCAGAAACTGAAAAGCATGGCCTTTCCTGTGCCAACTGTCTTTTAGAATAAACAAAAGACCCTCCCCCTTCATCTCCACATGCTTAACAATATTAATAGAACATGAAAATATTAATGCCAGTAGACAAGGTCTTTCATAAAGTACATAAATGAATTCATTCACTCTAGCTCATTAGCTTAATCATCAACCTTTTTACAATGCAACTGATTAACATTTTCATTGTTCTTCTTTGATTTCCCTTAGACTTTTGCTTCTATGGGGATCAAAAGATCTCTGAATGCATAAGCTCAACAAATATCCCTGCACAACTGAACAACAATAGAACTGTTAAAAGAGATAACTAAGTAAGGACTTTCACAGCTCATGCTTCAAAGATACTGCAGGAAACAACCATTTAAGAATCATTTTTATTTTTATGTTTAACGTGATTATACACATTCATGAGTCCAACAAGATCTGCACTGTGACATTAAAGATACAGTACAATAACATTCAACATGAGGTACTTTATATATTTATATATATCTGTCCTTTATAAATAATGCTGTAAGCCTGCTAAGGTCAAACACTGCTTCAGCACAAATGGGTGCTGGGACCTGAAGTGAGCTGAATTTATCACAACAAAAAAAACAAAACCCAAAACAGTTCAGTGCAAGAAGTGTGTAGAAATCAAAGTGTTTACTTAAATACTATTTTAGATATGCAGAAAGTATATTACATTATACTCTCTTATCACAGATTCCTCTCACCAGCAAATCAAAGATACAAGTGGCAGAGACAGCCAGAACAGTTTAGACAGAATCTGTGAGGTGATGTCTGTAGACATCACGTTTACATTCCAGGCTGACATGGCTGATGCTTGCAAGATGCCAATCAATGTACTCAGGCTTGGGTGGCTCTGCTAAACCAACCAAATCCACATTCAGACACCCACTGAAGTGCCCTGATGCCCCTGGGTGAGTGGCATGGCCACTTTCTTACATCCCAGTACTTGTTAGCATCACAAAGTGCTCAGAAGCAAGTTGTGCTGTGAGCCTCAAAAGGTGTTTGGGTGCCTTTGTCTGATCACCCACACTTGGAACCTTTCCCTGCACCCGCTCCCAAAACCCAGAATGGACTCAGAGGAATTAAGCCAGAGGTTGCTTTCATCCTACATCGTCAAAAAGACTTCATGAAAGAATCAAATAAGAACAATAATTAAATAACAACTAATTTTCTACACATTACAGCTACAGAGTGTTCTGATCTCTGAACTTCTCTTCCAGCCAGTGAAGGCAGCAGGCAAGTCACCTTCATTTGCAGGTAATCAAAACAAATAATAAATTCAAAGTGAGAAGCCAGGACAAGTTAAAGCAATGCAGTACTCTCTGACTTGTCCCACCAGCTGTGGCACATGTTTTTTTTACCAACCAAATCAAAATGCAGCTCCCTACCAGAACCTGTCAATCTGCTTATCACTTGGAGTAATTACATCTGCATCAGCCACTTGCTGTACAAAAATTTAATCAGCTGATTAGCATCTTTCTCTGCTTTGAAATGTATCTAAATAAATGGAACTGCTGCTCAGATGTTGTCTAAAAGTAGATGACCATTACCTCATCACAATCTCAGATTCCTTTGATGATCTCTTCAGCAACTCTTTCTCCACTCCATACCATTTATACCCTTGTCTATTTTCAGTTGTAGATCTAAATATAAGTAACTGGAGGTTTTTATAAATCTCTCCCTGGGAGTTTTCCATGGAGCATTCTGTTTAGATTTCACAAACAGTCTGGATTATGTACATCTGTTACAAAAAAACAAAACATTTTTTCTATGTACTTTGAGGGTATTTACATTTCAGAAAGAGTGCTGCTTACACACACATGTATGTATGTATACAAAACAGTAAATGCTAAGATGGATGAAAGGCATAAATCCTGTGGAGTACATTTTTTACCTGGCTCTCCTTTTATCACCTAGAGAGAAAATCTGGGCTTTGACTATACTCCACTTTTCCTTACTTCAGATGGTATTTTGGACACTGCCAAGATGTATTTTGGCACTTTCCAATGGCCAGGGGCCAGGATTCCGACCATCAAGCAACACTTAGAGTAACAGCATTAAACTGGTAAAATGAGATGAGAAAAACATTTTTATTACAGAACTGACAAGTGAATTGAGGGTTATGCTACATTAATGTGTGGATATACTGTAACATTAATCTCCAGCAGGTCTAAAGAATCATTTGGTCCTCTCATTTTGTTCAAAGGTACACAACAAACAGAACCCATTTTGGAGGTGAAGCAGGCTGCTTTACAATGGGCAGTGCAGCCTTTGAGGAACACTGTCCCAGTGCAGTGATGAAGGATTTTCTCATGTTTCAACAGTACCTGTAGTTCTTATTTATACTGGTTTCCTCCCCTGAGCCAAGGAGTATCCCTCATATTTCTGCAAAAATGATACAGACATGTAACTTCTGTTACATCACCAAAAATGATATGGACATGTAATTTCCTGGGGGGAAAAAATCAGCCAGGGAAAAGGTTCCAGACCACATAATCCTCTGACTGATGTGCAGCCATAAGCAATTGCAAGAGCTCCAACAATAACCCATTAGGAGAGACTTCCTCCCCCTCACTGCTATTATACACTAAGTGTAACATGACCACAGTTGGGAATCTCCTGTCTTTGTCTAAATTTCAACTGGTAATAAAAAGAAAAAAAATCTCATATTACAGAAAAAAATCCAAGTCAAGATTGATACATTCTTTTCTTCCTGTAAAATCTGCCTCTACCATGTTTAGGAAGAAGAAAAAACCCACCCAAAACAAACAAAAAATTATCCTGCATCAGATGATTGATATAAATTCCCATTTTTTTTAGCAAGGGTTCAGAGAAATGCCATTTAAAGAGCATATCAACTCCAGTGTAGCAAAACCTGGGTGATGGGAGCAGAGTTTCAAGAGCTGCACGCACAATTTGAACACATGCAAGTACTTCCTTGCCTTCAAGGTGGGATTCCTAGAAAATGAACTCCAAGGGTAACTTGCCAAGCCCACATCCCTTCCTCCCTGTGAACATGTCCATGCACTGGGGATATGGCTGGTGGAGCTTCCTGAAAGATGCTGCCTTCTTCCCATCTTCCCCTGGAGCCATCCCAAACAGTTGGCTACAGGAGAATCTACAGGATGAAGGTTTAAAGTTGTGCTTTTTCTGCTTACAACTGAAGGACTTCTTCCAGCCCCCATGGTCAAAAGCAGCAATGTCTAAAGTCTGCAGAGCAGACAGCAGAGAGAGCTATAAAACAAGACTCTTTGTTTTCTACCCCTACCTCCCCAATACAAGCAGAAAGCAGAAAATGGAGAAAGAAAAAAAATGGATCAATGAAGACAGTGTTGAGATACAAGAGGGGGACATCCTCTGGTGATTCACTGGTATTAGCATCAGCAAAGAAAGGGTCAGCATCACCAGCAAACAGGCACCCCCCTTACAAAGCCTTTAAAACTTGCTTGTTTCTAAGAGCTTCCAGTTTAAATATTACACTCAATCACCAATGATGCTACAAGTACAGCAAGCCAGGAACTTGCCCACAGCATTTAGTTACATATTCCCTGTACTGATCACATATCTGCAGATAAAAAGCTAAGAATCAGTAGGCCTGAACCAGACAGGTTCTTCATAGCAAAACGCTTTGTATGCACACACTCCCATTCAAGCATAAAATATGAGTTCAGGAATTTGTCCTCCCTGTACCCCTGTGCCATTCGTACTGTCCGAGGAGCACTGGAACTGAACAGTCACCTTCCCACACTGCACTTCTGTCATTCCTTCTTGTCCAAAGTAGCTGAGTTCGTTACCATCCAGAATCACGCTCGCTGTGTAAAAGGTGTCAGGCTCAATCTGCACCGGGTACTCAAACCACACAGGAAAAGTGTTACTAGAACCATCCGAGAAGTATTTGCTCAAGTTCTGGCCCAGGATAACCCCTTGTCGCTTCAGTTCAATCTTAGCACTGTACTCTGCCGAGCCACAGCTGGAGCCATAGAGCCCAAAGCCAGCAATGAACACTCTCTTGTCGACAGCGAACTGGATGCTGTCGCAGCGGCCCCGGTAGCGCCACTGGTTGCTGCGGTACGCGCAGGACTGGAAGCGGTGGCAGCGCTGAGGGACGAGGCCCTTGCGGGGCTTGCTGACAAACTGCAGCTCCGGCTTCTTGGCGGCCGTGTACCACAGGAAGATGTCGTTGGTTTCGTTCAGAGTCAGGATCCCCGACTGGGCGGCGCCGTTGGCGAAGTCGTCCAGGGCCATGGTGGGGATGCGGATCAGGTAGAGAGCCTTGCCCAGCACCTTGCGCTTGTTCTCGATGGTGGCCGTCAGCTCCTGCCGCTGGCACTCCACCTCAGCCCAGCTCAGAGCCGCCTCGAAAACGACGATTTCTTTGGCATTCAGAGTCTCCCTTCGGAGAATGCTTTCGAGTGTCTGGAAATCAATGTCACAGAAGCCCTCAGACTTCAAAGCGAGCTCAGCTTGGGCATCAATCACTTCCCAGCAGCGCTGGGTCAGGTCAGGTTCCTCGAATAAGCAGCTCTGGGAGAGCAGCACGCAGGCGTTCTTTGCGCTCAGGCTTGTCTCGAGAAAGTTAACGCAGGCACGGGCCAGGTGAGGGACAATGTACTTCTTGGCAGCATAAAGAGTGGCCAGGACAGTGTCTGCTGCCAAATCGATCTCGTCACAATAGATGTACCTGAAATAAAGCACACAGGTGTAATGCTGCTGCTTAACGCGACACCAGTTTGTCAACAAACTCACAGAAAAACATAAACAAAGAATATTTAAATGGCTCCACGTTAAAATCAAGCAGTGCTTTGGGGAGTATTGATTAAGCCCGGAAAGAAAGTACAAAAAAAAATTCAGCACTTATGTTAGGACCATGTTTAAATCTGAGGTGAATCCAACTTTCCATTTGGAGCGCATGCTTTGAGACAATTGTTTAAACACTGTGGCCCCTGCAGCTCTGTGCTCCTTCCCCACAGGTCTTGGCTCCCAGGCAGGAGCTCCTGCAAGGCTGCCTCCCTCAGCTACCACAGGAGCCTGGAACATGTGTTATCAAGAGTCCTTGGACGGTCCCCTGATGGTGAACCGTGGTTTACTGAGGTGCATGAACAAGTTTGTAGAGAGTAACTAGGTAATCTAAGAGAAATGCTATTCAAGTATATCAGGTGTTATCATTTCTGTAACTACTGGATTGGGTTCTTTTCAGAGGTGGATTTTTTTTTTGGGCTTGTGGTTTTGGTTGGTTTTTTCAAAGGGTTATGAAACGTATCAGAAATGGAAGATTTTCAGGTTTTTAATGCTCACAACATCCTAACTCAACCAGCACAGCATTTTCACTCAGTCTCACTGCATAAGGATGAAAAAAGCTTTATTGCTATGGCAGTGTGGTGGAAGAGATGAAGGTGAAATTCTATTTATGTGACTAAACTGCTGGGATTCATTGCTCAGAGAAATGAAGCATTGTACAGTTTGTTCTTTTCAATATCTCATGCTTCAGGGCTCCATTTGCAGCTGGTGAATGCAATGTGCTAAAACCATGCCAAATGCAATTTCACTCTTCACAGGGATAGCAAGTCTTGATGGTTATGGCTGATAAAAGTGTCTTCCTCCAGAAAAGCTAAAGTTGTATGCAACCCTGTACCAATTAAAATTTTCTAGTTAGCAGGTTTCCCTACACAATGAGTTTTCTGCAGAACAGATGTGCCTATAAAGAGGAATTAGTACCTACACTGATCTGATTATAGTTGTAAATAACTATTTGTATTTTTGCAGCTGTAAGATAGTATCCTCCATGCTGCACTTGGAAACCATGCACAGAGGAGATACTGCTCCAGCAACATAAAATCTAAGAGGTTACAGAGAAAAAAGAAAACTTACATAGAGCCAAGCTTATTTTTAGTGTTTACTGCTTGGTTTCAGCTTATCTGTGAAACCAAAGAACCCATCTGTATATCAATGGTTACAGGCTTAGCTCCTTTACCGCCCCCAAAAAGTTCATTTTCAATTAATTTATTTTTATGATTCTCCTGATTGCTCTCCTACTCTTTCCTCTCTTCTATTACTTCTCTTTGCCTGCTAGTACAACAGAGAATGATGACATCTGTTTTAAATCGAAATAGTTCAAAAGTTGCTATTTTCCTATTGAAATATTGAAAATAAAGGACTGATATCACTGATGTACAGCAGACACAGCACAGATCGACTGTCAGCAATACTCCACACCTCTGACTCTGCCAATGCACCTCAGCTCTGGTTTGCAATTGCTGATATTCCAGTTTCACCCTGTTCTCAAACACAGGATTCTGCCAGACCACGGGGTTTGGTGGTTTAGTAACACATTCAGCCTGGGATGAGATGAGATGAGATCACAGTTCTAACTTCAACAGTCAAGGCTGAGATAAGATATAATTCATTAATGCACCAATTCAGTCTGGCAGCTAGACTATGAGTTTAACCCTGTTTTTAAAACTGGGGAGAGCAGTCAAAGCAGTTTTACTGGGAGAACAACTAATGTCTACCCATGGTGGTATTTCCTGTATTACACCTGGCAATACCTTGTTTGTTCTCAGAATGCCCACTGTGTAATAAAACAGAAAAAATATTTATGCCATCAGAATTCATTGGCCCAGGGGAAAAAAACCCCAAACTTCTTGAGCAAGATGTCAAAACCAAAAAAAAAACCAAGATAAATGTATTTTCTGACAAAGTTTCTGATGCAGAAAGAAGCCTGTGAAGGAGAAGCTGTTTTGGCATAGCTAAAGTCTTTCCCTCTGTAGCAGCACAGCCTTGCCATCCATGGCCCACAGCAGCTGCAGGAAACTCTCCCAGGGATGGTTTCCCAGAGAGAGAGGAGTGGAGGGGACAGTGGCTCCCCCTAAGCTCCACATGCAGTGGATGCTGTGAGCAGGGGACACTGCAGTGCTGAGCAGCATCCCTGTGCCTTGCCTGTACCATCCCAGAGCTGCAGACACTGACTGGGGCACTCTGCAGCCTCACACACGCTGCATCAGGGAAGGCAGCACTGCAAGGTTACCTCAACAGCCACACAGACCACAAACTTTTTCTGTCTTCAGGGTTTTTTCAATAAAAGCTGAGAAGGTGAAGAATCCCATGGTTCTGGCCATGCTCTCCTAGATAGTTTCCTAAATTGCCATGGGCTAAATAATATGCCAAGACCTAGATGTCAGTGTTGCTACACTCTTTTCTTTCTGCACACATTTCTTAATGATAAATTCAGAAAGCATTCAGTTTTTATACAGCACATCATGTTTAGCCATGGTGAAATAGATTTGCTGTCGAAAAAGAAAGGGGGGCTGCAAGAACCCAAGTATCTTGTATTTGGGATTTGTAAAATTCAGCATGAAAGAAAACCGTAAGTCCGAGCTCTGCCACAAAATCAGAAAGGCCCAAAGCAAAGATCCATAGCACACCTCCCTACATAATGTCACATCTTAACTTTATATTCCAGGTCTACAGAACATCTGTGGAGCTCTCCTGGCAGTTACCTGTATTTGCACAGAATATTCCTGACGTTGATGGTAACCTATAAAAACTCTGTATGCAACTTTGAATGTTCATCTATGATGCCAGTGAAATGTTAAAAATGAAAAAGAAACTCTTCTGTAATCACAAGTTAATCAAAACAATCTATGAAACACAATAAATTGCTAGCTAGTGATTATATCATTACATGCAAGAAAACTTACAGCATATTAAAGGGATCACTATCAGATACTGATGTATTTTTTGTATAGGAAAGCAATAGCATTTATTTAAGCTGAAGGAAAAAAAAATCAAAAACTCAAAGCCATAGCATTTCTGTGATAGGGCATTTCTTCTCAACAATCAGAATTTATAGATAAATTCAAGGACAATTCAGCAGGAAAGCTGCTTCATTATGCCCATTTAGGAGAAGAGAGCATCTCTTATGCAGTTTGCAAGAAGAAAAATAATGATCATGTAAACTGACTCGTTTTCCTTGTTAGATAAAACCCCTTATTCATGTAAACAGCCTTTTTATCACTTTCCAAACACATCAATATGATACATAAGGAGAAATTTATTTTTCAGAGGCTATGCTGAATAACTTAGGGTCATTTTTCTAAGACAAGACCTGCATACTGCAGGTTTATAAAAGAGCTGGAATGATGTCAACCTACAAATCCAGCAATTCACTGGGTCTGAGGGGGCTTTGTGCATGCATTTTTAACTTTTTTCCGTGCTTGCAAAGTAGAACAGTTGGTTTGGGGTTTTTTGTTCCAGCTGACAAACCTTTTTAGTAACTCCATTCCTTTGTGTAACATATAGTGACAAATCAGATCAATAGGCATTACAGTACACAATGTGCCCAAAGATCCCCTGTCAAAGTCATTATTTACAACTGCCTACATTAGTCTAATATGTGTGTGCCTGGAAGTGCGGGGGGAGAGCAAAATTAGGCGAAAGTTTAAAACACAAAAAGAGGAATATTTCAAGCAACTGCTTTCTTTCTGTTTATATGCAACTTCAGCTATGACATTGGCAGGGCATGTATACATCAGACAGGAACACACATCCAGCAGATGAATGATGCTTACTTCAGCATTGCAAGGAAAGCAGCAGGCTCAACATCTGGTATACGGATTTCATCTTTGTCCTCAGCGAGCTCTCCGTAAAACATTGCATGGAATACTGAGCTCCCAACAGCCAGGACATACTGTTGAGAAAGGGAAATCTTATTTCATGCTTTGAACTCAAAACACTGCCAACACAAACAATGTGGGAGAGCCACTCTGAGCAAGCTGGGCTGCGCTGACAGGCTCTACAGACACACTTCAGTAAGAAATGAAGCCCAAGTTAAGAACAAGTTACACATTTTCCTTGTATTTTACTCTCCTGGGCATAGATGCATTAGCTACTGGAAAACTCTCACCTCCACCACAGAAGTTAACTATTTCTAGGAAATCTCAAGAGCAGTATTAATCAACAGCACAAAGCAGTATTCCTAACTTTACTGCCTTAGCCCAACACAAAGAAAAGCCAGGGAGAGATTATCCCACTGCATGTGGCCTTTCCCAACACAGACTGCTGCCTGTCCCAGAAGAGCTGAGCCTCCCACACTCTGTCCTGCTGTAACTGTGGGAGCTCCCTCTGGCTCTCCCCACCCCAGCAGATCATGCAGCTGTTGCTTACTTTGTGTCCTGGCAGCCGCTGGGTCCCACCTGGTGGCCCGACCACAAAATGAACATCTGCCATCAAGTCATTGTTGAACATCACTGCATTTCTACAAACAGAGGTAGCATGTTAATTTGTGGCACCCTGGAACTCTCTCTGCATGTCTCAGACCCAAAAAATATTATTTTTTACAACTTCTAGTTGCTCATTAGCAAAGAGAAGCAGGTCACACTTTGCTTTCAGCTGATTTACACATCATTGCACAAATATATGAGAGAAAATACTAAAAGTGTTTCTGGTGTGTATGGGTGCAATAAAACAAACCCCCAAACTTCTGAGAACTTTCCAAGAAGTGGAAATCAAAGTCCAGAGCATTTATCACTGAAAATCCCCACTGAGGTCTAAAAGGAAATCTTTATGGCTATGGTGCAGCTTTTAGCAACATTTTTACTAACTCAAATAGATGCATTGACTAGAAAAGAGATACTAAAACATTTCTGCATTACCAAAATTCTTATTTCCCACACACACATACAGGGAGAATAAAAGCCCAAACAAATTAAATATAACTGTGTTTTCTTCAGTAAATAAATGCATTCTGGACATTTTGCTACTTTTCACCCCTCATTCAAACATCAAAAAGCTGCCCTGAACTTACCTCTCTCTGATGGTTGGATAAAGTCCTTGCCAATTAGGTGCAGGAATAGTGTTGTTGTTATTGAGATTTTGCTGATGGTACTGCTGGACAGCAGTTGTATTAGTATTAGCTGGTTTCTTTCGGGGAAAAATATCAGCAGCCATCTTCTTCTTCTTTTTGGTCTTCAAGGTAATGATTTCATAGCAAACAGGAGGCAATTTGCTGTTGCTACTGCTGCTGCTATTTCCTTTCTTAGAGCTCTTCTTAGACCTGTTCTTGACCGTCTCTGGAAGCATCAAGAAGAAGGTGAGACATTTCATGTTCTTTCCTTTCTCATCTACCATCAGTATACCCGTGAGTAAAGACCACAGCCTAACTAGCCAGGAACATTTAGGAATCTACGTGGAAGCTGGAACACCGAAAGCAGCAGAGCTGAGAGTCAGCAAGACAAGGTGACCTTTCCAGCATCCGGAGTAAGAAACTGAGTTTAAGTTTGATCCAGTACTTGAACCGTTAAACACATCCCCATCATTCCTTCCAGCTTTCCCGATCAGGAAGCGCCTGGCAGCGCTACAGCCGGGGCAGAGGGCAGGAGCAGCGCACGGTGGCAGTGCCAGGCTGCCGGCGAGCCCGAGTTGTGCGGGCAGGGCTGGGAGCGGAGCGGCAGCCGGAGCCAATGGCTGCAGGCACGGAGCGCGATTGGGCTCGCACACAGTGACACCTATTGTAGCCTGCGCCGCTGCCACGGCACAGCCACCGCGGCGCGCCCGCAGCTCCCCCGCAGCCGCCGCCGAGGATGGCACGGAATCAATGGCACCGCGGCTGCCCCGCAGGGCGGGAGCGCTGCTGTGGGCGTGTGGGTGTGTGAGTGAGCTCTCCTCCGTGCCGCTTCCACAGGCGAAGCAGTGAGAAGTTGCAATCAGGTAGAAAGGTCTATCTGAGTCTATTCGATATTAGCACAGCTTCCTTTGCCTGTAGCATCCCCACAAATCCCTCCTGTAGGAGCTGCTCGGCGAGTGCGGGACCGGTATCGGAACGGAATTAAAGCAATGGAGCAGCAGCACGGCCGGCGATGCAGCCAAAGGATCCCTTTCGGCGGCTCCTACTCCAGTGTAACATCAACAGGGATGAGGTCACAGCTCCAGCTTTAACTCCTCCTGTTTCCAGATAACACAACAGCCTTTGACAGGGGTCCCAAATCGCTAAGCAGCGCTAATTAAGCCAGATTACGCCAGACATGGCTGCACCACATCAGAAGAAAACTTCTAGATGTGTAATCAGATTAAAGCCAACCAGAGTGACTATATTTAATCAATATTTCAAAGCATTAAATTAAAGGGTCTGAATGATTTAGAGAGTCTCAGGCAAAAATCATTACTTGAGACACAAACAGTCCGATTTTATTCACAAATAAACAGGATATATGCTATACCAACCAAACCATTTAAATAGGAAATAAGTCTATTTTATAGTCATTAGTTTACTCAGAACTTAAATTTTGTTCAGATTTCTTTAATATCACGTCAGGTGTCTAGAAAAACCACCAAGTAAGCATAGCCACTTAAAAACAAAAGCAGGGAAATAAAAAATACTTGGTATGAGGTGTGAACATAGCACACCTTAAAATACTGGGGAGCAGATAGTTAAAATATGATTTCATTATTACTTGCAGTTTTAAAGAAAAAAAACCCTCTGGTTTCAAAGCTAATTTAGCCACATTTTTCCTTAATTAGTTTTGCTGGACAAGGGTACAGCAGGGAAATTAAAGTGATAAAAGGTTGGTGAAGAAGTCTGGTTGAAGCCCCTGACTCAAACAGAAATATTACTCAGGCTGTTTATTCAGTCTCCATCCCAGCTGCTGGAATCACAGCTGTGGCTGTGTCACACACACTCAGAATTCTTTGACCTGAGGATGTGCTGGCATTTCAAAGATTACCAGGCTCCTTGGGAGATGCTGCACACCAAGCCCTCACTGCACACCCAGCCATGTGCAGGCCTTGCTGCAGTGGCTGGGGATGAGGATGATGATGATGCCATTCCCAGACACATCTGTCCTCTCTGGCTGAAGGCACTGCCCATGGAAGGGGAAACACAAGGAGATGTGTCCATGCTGCCACATTTCACAATCCAACACCTCAGAGCAAAATCTCCTTGACTGCTGCTTTAAAGGAAGATGGTGGGTTAGACACATTCCTAAATACATTGAGGGGAGGTTATGTAACTTACAAAGAAATTATTTCTAGCAACCTTTTCTCTCTCCTCCACACATTTTCTTTTTTATCTCCCATAGACTGATTAGGAAGGGAAACTAAAAACCTAAACCATATTGAACTGTAGAGAGGGAGAAGAAGGGGTAAAGGAGAAGAAACTCATCCCACAGATGGGAACTTGTAACTGCTCACAGCTGAGTTTATAACAGGAACACAGCAGGTATTCCCAGCACAGAATTTGAGTTTGTTGAGTTTGTGTAAGTTTTTTTTTTCCTCTCCTTATGTAAATTTCCAGCCCTTCCAAATAAAACAATAACCTTTTTGCCACTGCACAGGACAAACATTTCAAAAGGAAGAAATCTTTAAAAAACCTCTTAAAGGTACAGAAAACCACAGACTCCAGAAAATCTGGTTCTCAGCATTGCAGTTGGCAAAAACAAAAGACAGCAGGGGTTGGGAGATTTGATTGTCATTCCACAAATCCATTTCATAGACTCCCAAAGTATATAAAAAATCAAGCTCTGCACATTTCTTCAAACCAATGACCAGGACAAATTCAAAGATTTTATACACACACCAGATAAGGTCACTGGGAGGCTACAGGAGATAAGGAGAATGAGGGACAGACTGACCAGTTAACTCCATGTGGGAAAGACAGATTGTAAATGTGAACCCACAGGGATCCACCAACCTTTGAGCTGTGGAGCACAACACACATGCACAGCACATTCTGGGAAAGGAAAGGAGAGAGAAGCTGCAGCTGAAGAACGTTCTGCCTGAACTCAGAAGTCAGACAAACCCCAGTAGACAAGAAGTATCTGCACAACAGGATAAAAAAATCCAGTCCAGAAAACAAAAAGCCATCTTTGCCTGTTCTTAAGCCACCCACCAAAACCTGGTCTGCTCTAACTAGAAAATAGCACAGATTCCAGAACAGAACCTAAATAGATTTAGATTTTCATACAATTCCTGTGAAAAACTACAAACCTCTTGGAGGTTCATAGCACCTTCCACTGCACTTCATCACCCCAGGAACTAAGTCTCATCAACTACTCATTAGATGGATGTGAAACAGGAAAAAAACCAAAGAATTATTGTGCTATTCTCTGTAGGTACAGAGTGTGTGGTGATTGGGAGTGGGGATGGAGCTGAGCCCCAGTGGGCACAGCTGTGAAAAGAGGTGAGCAGCACTGACAGCAATGAGCCATGGAGTGCCCTGGTGTGCTGAGCCATCACCAAAGGGAGCAGAGGGCACACGGGTGCAGTGCCTGAACATGAGGGGTGTAAAGGTTGGGCTAAAGGGCAATGCCTGAAGCCTTCTGAAGCTGTTTGGTGCTACTCTGTATGGGTGGAAGCCTGATATTATATGGTGATACTCTGTGTATCGTGGCTATCTGGACTGCAGCATGTGCTGTGACAATTCTCACTCGCTGTTCTTTCTGTTTTGGCAGCAGCTTCCATTTCCTTTCATACAATGCTGTTTTGTTGTTTTACTATACAAATATATGAATAAATTTAGAACTCAATACCCTGGCAGTCAGTAAAAACAGCCCATGAACTGCTGCCTGTTGAAAGACCAAAATCCCCAGTTTAGATCAGTCTGTCTCCAACAAGAGGATCAGGGAAGGTCACCTTCTCTGACCCACAGATCTATCCATTTCTGAAATCTTAATACAATGTGCTCCTAATCTTCTTCAGCAAGTCTCATTTTTCTTCATTCATTATATATTAACAGAACTAAACTTGATATATACAACTGAGAAAGAGGGAAATACAGTTCTTCAAAGGCACATTAATTTTTATTTTACAAGCAAAGTAGTCAGACCAGAAATATTTCAAGTTAAAGGGTATGGGAAATTTCATGCTTAAATCTTTACACTGGCCTAATGGATATTCAAAATGCCAGAAGAATTAAGGAAAATTATATTCCCACTCTGAGATACTACACACCAAGTTACAAGTCCCTTCCAAAATATCAGGAGCAGGTTAAGAGCCCCTGGAAATCAGTTCCTGACTAAACATTGTGAACTGAAGCAGCAATTCTGCTGTTCAAACCCAAGTGTGTGCAACACACCTGCCATCCCAGCTTATTCATCCCTCAAGAACATAAAATACCTTGTGAGGCACAGGAGTCACAGAAAAGCCCAGCTCTGGTACAACTTTTAATAGCATGTGACTACTGTAATTATGCCTTTCTAAAGGTAACTTCCAATAGGGAAATCACTTTTATTTCCAGACCTGCTGGGAGTATTCTTCCTCATACTTCATCAGTTTCTCCTGCTGCAATAGCAAGGATACCAAAGAGTTTCTTTTTTCTCCTTCTAATAAGCTGAGTTTTTGGACATCTCTCATTTATGGGCCCGTTCCTCATGTAGTAACATGAGCTACACCATTCTATAAAAAACAAGCTTTCATTAAAATTCCCAATTGTTTATTACAACCACATCATGAATAAAAGAAAGAACTCTTAGTAAGCAATGAGGAAATGCATACATTTCTTTTTCTGTACAATTGCCAAATGTCTTCTTTGGCAGTTACTATGCCTGTGCAGCATTAACATTGTTTAAATCATGAATTTCCCCCTATAAGGAAACAAATTTCAGATGACACATCTTGATGAACCAAAATAAATAAACAATGTTACTGTTTAACAAATCTACCTGCCTGTCCACTGCTAGCTTCAAGCACTCATTTAAAAATGGAATATACATGTTCAAAAACTAACTAAACCAACAGAAAACCTCAATAAACCAAACCCACACAGCTTGGGTGCCTTGTTCTGTTTACCTGTCTATGAATTATAATAATAATCACTTGGAAGAGTCCTTCCCAATCACCATTCCAACCCTTCTGTTTGTAAAAACCAATTTGGAAAGGGCACTGATAGCTCTACCCTTCATTTCCTCAAGTAAAGAAATGCATTGCAGTGAACAAAACCTCCCAAACTCCTCTCTCCTAAGTTTCTTATTGGCAGCACTGGAAGAAACCAAGATGGCATCTGCTTCTGTTGGCTGCATGGAAAAGCTGGCAGTGAAGTCTCAGTCAGGTCTTGTATGGAAAAAAAATAAAATAAAAAGGCAACCAAAAGCAGGAAGAAAGATGGGTAAAATTGTAAAGACTCTCAAAGAAGCTAAAATAGATGTGAAAAAAATAGCTATTACATCCCAGAATAGTGAAGAGCTGTGAAAGAGTAGAATAGTAGGAGAGTAGAATTGCATCTTGAACCAAGACTAGAAGCTTCAAAATGAAGTCAGAAATAGTTAAATAGTATTTTTCTGCAGAACTCATGCTACACTAGCAACATACTTGTTAGCAAATATTCTTAACTGATTGGTGTTTATGAGGATTTAAATACTTTGCATAACATTATCCACTAGGATAGTTTTTACTTTTTCTTCCTAAATGCCCTTAATGCTTCAAAGAAAACAAAAGCAGAAAGTCCTGAGCAGCCTAGTCAAAAGGTAAACACCAACTTGCATAAAATAAAAACATAAAGAATGAATATTCACAACTACT